TGCCAGCTCTAATGGACGAGAAAACGCAAAATCGACAGCCACTTAGATTCCTTTAATGTCGTGTCAAGTAGAGTTGCCTTTTTTACTTGCAAAAGACGTTGTTTACCTCAAGCCTATCTATACTCTACTTATTGGAAAGTTAGTAAACACAACAAAACGTCGCTTAAAAATGCAACAATTCCATCCATCCAGTAGTTTGTAGCCGACCGAAAAAAAACAATGGACGGATCTATGAGCCGCGTCCAATTAAAATGAAGTGCATTAACAAAGAAACACATTCTGGACGCGATACTGCCGTTAGAGCAAAACGCTTAGAGGCCTCACCATCCAGCCATCAGTTGAAACAATTGGTACTTTTCCAAGTCGCCTTAAGGAGAACAAGGATGCTCCTACTCCACAAAGACCCACGTTTGGAATTATTTTCGCGAACAAATGAGCATTGTTATCTCTAAGGATTTATTTTCCAACAAAAGCACATTTTACCGGCTTATTTGTCACTTTTGTGCGTAAAATGTGCACTATAGTCAGTCAACGCAGCAGTTACCAAAGCCACGGCAATTACCATGTCTTAAACCAAGTCAGTCCCATTCGTTTACTCTGTCCCTTTATGCTCAACCTTATTTGGAATTGCAGGCTTTCAATAACACATGCAGAATATCAAGGCGACATATATGTGTGACGTTGGTAGTCGACGTGTGAGGCTTGGCACTAAATGGCTTTAAATTAAATTACAAAGGCTTGACCCTCCCAGCACTTATTCGTTACATTATTTTAGTGTTTTGATGTGCACACTTCAAAGCATTCTCAAGAGAGATCCACACTTTATTTTTCATTCATCCGACGGATGCCGGTAATGTATGTCTGATTATTCGAGCAGCAAAACCAGATGACAAATCCTACCACATATCATCGAGTAACGCAACGCAAGATCAAAATAATGACACAACAAAAGGTTTTTAGTGTGCTCCCAAATGAATCACGATCGAATCCTACAACAATTGCTTTAATCTAAGCGCTACTTTTCGGGACGTTTGCGGCAAAGGAGGCTTACACCCAAGGGCATCAGAGCCCGGAAAACGATAAGGGTGACTTGAAATCCTAGCAAATTTTGAAAATGTCGAACAAAATTCCAAAAAAAAGTGACAAAGAGAAATGTCGGACTTCTTGTAAATAAACCTACCAGAGCAAAAGCTCTTTGAATAGCAACCCGTAGTTCCAAAAACTTACGTTTGACGCGGCAGGCTTCTTGAACAAAGCTAAAATTAACGGCTCCGATCAGCTACCATCCACAGAAGCTAACTTCTCCAGGAACGACTCGACAAATTGTTGACTTTTTCGGCATTGTGAGAGCAAGCAGAAGTGCCCTGGTGATTCTGAAGCAACGCAATTCAGCTAGCACCATTACTAAAACTCGGTAAGTAATATAGTAATTATAACCTTAATGTGCTAAAGCGGGAGAAAAGAGGAGGCATCGACAAATTTCCAAAAATGACGAGCATATGAACACCTGAGTGGGAGGAACTGTCCGAATTGATATACACAACCGAAGCTTAAAGACGGACAAAGTACGTGAAAGATTTCCGATCTATTTGACATCATGATTCAAAATCCACCGCTATACAAGTCCCACCACCATGACGATTCCACCAAGTCAATAAAACAAGCAGTATTAAAATGTACGTAGTTAGTTACTCGTTGGCGTTTCTTTTATTAAGCCGGTAAAAAAACAGATAAATCCACGGAAGTAAACAAAAGCTAATTTGTGACGGAGAAAATAGCGCGTGAGCAGGTGCCCAACAAATTTCAACTGATAACACTATTGTGCAGTAACAATCTGAGTGTTTGTTAGTACTGAAACTGGAAAACAACGAATCTTATCGGCAAGTGGGACCACTTGTAGACGTTTGTTTCAACACTTGACTGCAAAAAAGGCAGAATGCATAGAAGAAATAAGGCATGTCTGGAAGTGAGCTAGTCACGAATGGGTATCCGAAAATTTGTGAATTTTGAACAAAATGCGCATCCCCAAAACATCAATACGTTTAAATGGCCAGCGAAACAACTATCGAGTCGGTAGTAGAAATGCGCCCAAGAAGAATATTTGAAATTAGACAAGTCATCCGCTACAAAAAAGGCTCTATCCATAAACGCATGCAAGCACAACAGTACTTACCTGAGAGAAGACGATGAATGCGTATGAAGAACCTAGGAAACAAAAATTTTCTCATGACTCAAACCACGGAGATTCAAAACCAGCGCCGATTGCAGCGAAACATCATCAGAACCATCCAAAGCCATACAACTTTCTAACTAATTACAGTAAGGTTTAAGCATAATTGCGTAGTGATTTTAAAGAAAAAGAGGCATCTCAAGAATCGTCCATTTATTTTTTGCACTCACCTTGGCAAAAAGACAAACAGATGAATAGCTAAAAATATCACAAAAATTCTTACCAAAATATTGTTTACACTTACCTTGGCAAAAAGATGAACAGATCAATAGCTAAAAAATTACCAAAATTCTTACCAAAATATATGCGAAAATTAGACAAAGTTTGAGCCGCCCTCTGCAAAGGTCAATTGATGCGAAATTGATCTCTGCCAAATGGTATTACTCACTTATTTTTGCGAAAATTTTAATCATTAATAAATTTTAGTAAAGATGCATGGACGAACTTTGTAAAATTTGTTTTAACTGAGTCGACTTTGCACCTCTCATGGTAAGACGTTTGAAACGCGATTTAGACAGTTTTGAAGAACTTTCCCTTAAAGCCTCACAATTTTGTAAATCCCTATTAGTCCCTTTTGCCGTAACGCATGCTTTTGCCTCGAACCAGCAGGCTTACTGCTCTGTAGAATGGTCGTTCGTTGGTCCTAGGGCTAATGTATTTGTGGTTTACTTTCGACTGCAAATATGCGACCTCTGGTAGTTTAGCCTTTCCTCCATGAAGTTATGGGGATGTTTCGTCGATGACGACGATGATGACGTCCCCGCATAGGATAATCGAGGCACATAACAATACTGATTGCTACTCTCAATTTGAGTATTATCAGAAGCAGTGAAAAAGTCCATCATCGCTAGAAGTCTTTGTTTGTGTTGAACGAAACATATCCTTCCCAAGTTAGGAACTTAAAACGGTACGGTCAACATCAAAAAGAAGCAACAAAGTTCAGATGTCCAAAAAGAGGCCACTTTTTAGACAAATGATAACATCTATTATGGCAATGAAACGTTGCACGTTTATGCAATGGCAATTAGTACAAACCACGAATAATGAAAAGCAAAATCTGTTGAGAACGTAGCAATTCTCAATTTCCATAGCTCCCATCTGCGCGCCTATTTAACCGATTTAATGGGGCTCAAATCAGTAGGCGATGGTGGTTTATGACTTTGCAATTGTTGATTTGCAAACTTCACCCATGTACTCGTTCCAGGGCTCTACAATTGTGAAACGAACCACTACCTATCTGTCTTTACTATCATTCAAAGACAACGCCACTAACTGCACATGCACCGAAAACAGACAATTTAGACAAATGAGTACTATCAACTAGTGTGCTTACGGAATAAATTGGCATGGCGCTTTGGCTCTGGACACTACTCGGTCGATTTGTTACCGGAACAGTGTAGCTCCTTGTGGACTCCAATTTGGGTTCATTGCCAAGTCCAAATTCGAACGTAGGAAACTTTTTGGAAGGGAGCAGACCAACCAAGTGCGGCGGCACAATGGCGCAGGATGGAGGCCTTGATACCTTTTCTCCAACTCCCAAGTTAGGAGTTTTAGTTTTTGGTTTATACGACTCCGATTGTTGTTCTAAATTTTGACACACTAACACAGTTGACATGCAAAAATCTGTCCTACACAACTCACCAAATGGTAGCATATAAAAAAAAAAAAAACTAAGCCACAATGCAATGTCACACCATTTAAAGGTGTGAATAGAAGAAGTTTGAATACTCACTTATGCTCCATTCTGTCTCACTTCGAATGACATCCGTTATAGGCGAAGTGGATTCCCTTTTGACAGCCTTTTGATGGTAAGACAAAGCGTTCGTTTGATTTGCTTTCATAATGATGAAATATTAACGTAAAGGAATGGTATAAACGTATGGACTGCGGAACAATTCTCGCGAACCAAGCTTGAGCACAGCCTGACAGACACTGCTGACCCCTTAGGGCTGTCATCGCTTTTATATGTTGCATTGGGCCGACCGAAGGTCACGCTCCAACTCCGCATTGGCTAGCGCGTAAATCCGTTCGCCCCCCCCCAAGGGGACACAATTAAGGCAACAATCGCACACTTCAATCAAACAAATCATTACAAGCGTTAAACTTTTTCATTAATTTAATTCACAACTTTTATACCAACTTTGCAACAAAAGTGGGTTGTTTGAACTTTCAATGTGTGTAGGTGAGTCGGTGACTCGACGTGTGAAGTTAATCCAACCGTTTCAAGGGGGTTAGCAGACAGTACTTGTTGAAGTAATTTGCAAGGTGGGACACTCTCGCCTAGACCTGCAATCCAACATGCTCGTGGTCATTCCAACCGAAGTAAAAGTGCTGCTTGAACAATCGCGTTGTGGTAAAGTTACGTGACAATGTTAATCAGTTTTATATGCAATGGCCATCACCAGAGCGGTAGAATGCCTATTTTAGTTGTTTAAACACAATCCAACCTTGATAATTGGTGCTTAGAATTGCAGGCATTAGAAGGCGATGCTGAATGCGGTGGACAACTTCCAAGTTCCACTTCCTCTCTTGGTAAGTACGTAGTTTTGCTTTGGGTTTGTTTGTCTTCCATACCACGGAAAGCGCGGTATTTTGCACCGGTAGAATGTGTTTTGAGTAATTAAGTGAAATGGGAAGGAAGTGTTTGGTGCAAAAGGCATTTTTAGTTGTCAGTGCACTACCAATTGAATGTTTGTTTATTTCGGTAAAAATTTACATATGATTTATGTCAATGCTGCTATCAAGGTGCTCTCGAGTCGTAATATTTTTCTCAATCAAACATTTTCGATTCACATTTTGTAAATGGACGGCAGTTCTCCTCCTCCTCCTCTTCATCCTTCTCCTCCCTCTCCTCCTCCTCCTCTTCCTCCTCCCTCTCCTCCTCATCCTCTTCCTCCTCCTCCTCCTCTTCCTTCTCCTCCTCCTTCTCCTCCCTCTCCTCCTCCTCCTCTTCATCCTCCTTCTCCTCCTCCTCCTCCTTCTCCTCCCTCTCCTCCTCCTCCTCCTTCTCCTCCCTCTCCTCCTCATCCTCTTCCTCCTCTTCATCCTCCTCCTCCTCTTCCTCCTCCCTCTCCTCCTCATCCTCTTCCTCCTCCTCCTCCTCTTCCTTCTCCTCCTCCCTCTCCTCCTCCTCCTCTTCCTCCTCCCTCTCCTCCTCCTCCTCTTCATCCTCCTCCTCCTCTTCACCCTCCTCCTGCGCATCATCATCATCAGCAGTAGCAACAGCAATAAGCTGACGTAATTTAAATCTAAAACTCGCAATCAGTAGGTGGATATTTCTCATAACGACTTATGACAATCATTGAATAAAACCATGTGCCTCACCTGATTCCTCCATTGCCCCATCGTCATCCTGGTTGCTAGAGTAGTAGTGACTGTGCTTTGCATTTGAAATTTTGAAAATCTTTCCCCAAAGTGCTTACCTTCTCAGTTCGGCAAGTCAACGAACAACATAATGAAGCCTCACTGAGAGACACCTTTTCCCCATTATTGTTTTAGCTCCGCATTTTTAACCACCGTTACTGCAATGCATGATCATAAACACGAGATACTTCATTTTCAAATGCCCTTAAAAGTGACCTCATCGAAGCCAGTTTTTGGGATGACTTTTGCGCCTCTTCTGCTTGACCATGTCGAGGTCATTTAAAGACGTGAAAGCAAACAAGCGAACCGACCTACGACTCATTCCTTCCTCTCCTTTCCCTAACATCGCAGCTTATCAAAATGTGTCCTCTAACATCAAGCCATTGACACAGCAAATATAAAACTTTGCCTGCTCCAAACCGTGACAATGTTCAAACAACCACACAAGTGCTCCACACTCGCCAACCTGTATAGCATCATCGGCTAGAGAGGGTGTCAAGTTGAGCCTCCCACATTGGCTGTGTCATGAGTATAATTATTTCAACATCGCCTTTTTGTTGCCACGATTGACAGAACGAACGACGCGTCGTAGACGATGCACTCGAGTGGGTGTACGAATTGTGATTTCAGGCTCCACCACTCCAACCCACTCCCACCGTCAGAGGCGGGTGAAACTGTGAACCTACAGAGCAGATGCAAGTTGTTTTGCCCCCAACGATTGCAGGATACAAATAGCCTGCCCTATGCGTGCCTCTTGAGGACAACAACGCAGCGTTGGCAAAATGAAGTGACTAAAATTAAAGTATAAAGTATAAATTTTCCATCACTGAAGGCGGTGTCATGCCTGATGGAAGGTGAGAGGGAATGGGAGTGCAGTTTTAATTATCCCCACTACTTATCCTCACCAACTCAGGATCCAAGGCGTGGAGAGGAGTCCCAAAGAATGGCTGTAGTGGAGTCTACAAAGCCACCAACAGACGGAGTGCAGTCAAAACACTGCGTTATCTCAATCCACCACACCTAATTTTAGGTTGACATTTGTCGTCATTGTTAACAGTATGTAATTCCAATTTTTTCCCCCTTTATTTGTAATGCAATGTTTTTTTTTTTATCAAATGAGCTCCATACTTTGAGGTGGGGTCAACGTGACTTAACCTCGAGTTGAGGCAGATGTGACACACGTGACAGCCAGCTGCATGAGTGTTGTGACAGGATTTGTTGCTCCAATGAGCACAACATTTAAATCGGACCTTAATTATGTGTAACCACCAGTTCGTCTCCACCGTGTGCAGAGTTGGGTGAGGAAAGGGTACAAAAAATTTTATAAATTGACAGACATTTGCTAGGTTCCAACGCATGTGACTTGATGAGTAATTAAAAGTTATGAAGAGAGTGTAAAAAGCAGGTTAAATGGAAGAACGGAGGAGAGAGAATTGACTTGCTGCCACCGATCCTCCTTTCATCAAGACTGTAACCGATTGACGACGTCGTTGCATCCAAGCTACGCAAATTGATGCTGTCTTAATTTGTGCTATTGCAGAATTTTATCAGTGCTTGTCAATAAATGGATTCACTTTTGGTTCAAAATTGAGGAAATGAAAAGTACCATCTCTACTAGGTGATATTCTGCAATCTGTCTTAGCAATTCCACGGTCCTTAAAGGCGACGTCAAAGTCAGTCTGCCATCCAGTCGACCCATCAAACGCATCAGTAATCAGTGGAACTTCCACAACCATCCTGAGCTCTTGCATTGGGCCTCGCTTCTCGCCTCCATAAGGGTCCTTTACCAAGGCATTTAAGCTAACCTCCTTGACTTGATGGTGACAACAAGGCGGTGATGATGATGATAATGCCAAGCCTCAACCACAACCTTCCTCTCAGTCATCTTGTGAATTTACGTGTGGGATTTTCTTAAAAGACCCCAAATAGGAGGTAGGTTAGGTCATTAAGGAGTCCTTTGCTTGCAATGCCGTCGAAAGGCGACATCACACTCTTCCACCACACGTCACAGAACACATGACACGCATTTAATGCGTTGCATAGCGCAAGACCTGCTGATGCACACCATTCAAATATTTTCTACCACCTTTTTGCGTTTCTTCTTTCTACTATGCATACCCTCCTCAGTGCTACTCCCCACTTCCGTCTTGCGATTTTTCTCGACCTCTTCTACACATCTAAAACCTTTGCATTTACGCATCTCCTCAACTCGGACGCGCCATTTCAGTTTTGTCTCAACTGAACACCCCAATGCGGACGGTCAACTTCCCTTCATCTGGGCTGTTGAGATAAAGCGAAAACTTGGACAACTGTTTTTTTGTTTAAATTTGATTGCGCGGGTATGTGAAAAGACAAACAAACTTCATCAATTGAAGATGTTGTTGGGAAGCTAATTTTTTCCCACTCAAAGGTAATCCCATCCACTTATAAGCTGGTCTACAAAGGCTGCACTAAACTCCTCCCTCCCGTCCCTCATGCAGGCATAACCGCATGTTTCCCCGCAGTATTTTTTTTGTACAACCTACCAATCAGATCAAAATTAGGCTAAAATTGAACAAAACTCCCAACAGCACTACTGTGGGGAAATTGAGCCTCAACCTCAGATTCGCCTTTTACTCCCACCATTAAAGTCCCCTTAACTGCTGTCTCCATTGTCGCAGCGGGTGACGCCATCCGAATTCGAGGCGACACAACGTGAGAACTCGTCGTCTGCTTTAGTGAGAAGTCTCCAAGTCCTTCGTGGATTCCTTGCCTTCTTATCCCTCGAAAAGATGGTCATTCCTCCTCCACTGCTAGCTTTTAACCTCCACCTTTGCCGAGGGTCTGTTGAGGTGTTTAGCCACTGTTGTTTGCATTTTCAAGGCTTTTCTGTCAGAACACAAAGAAAAGGTTTCTCTTTTTTGTTGATAAAATGTGCGTTTATCTCCTCACATCATCCTTTTAAGCCTACAAAATGCGAGTTATAATGCTAGCGTTTTCATAACTCGCAAATACTACTAACGGACTCACTTTTAACACAGTGTGCTGTTCCTCTGGCGATGGGTAGCAAAGTGGATGTCGAAGTTCCTTCCTCGACTCTCCTACTGCTCTGCATTTTTGCCTGTGGAAATGTGGACTACACAAATTCGTCCAAATCTTTGCATGCAGGAATGATAACATCACGACGATGTTATGTTTTGTTGGTTTTAGGGCAACAACATGTGACATGCAGGTAGTGTAAGTAACTTTCTGTGGATTTATGGCGATGGGGTATGATGGAAACTGTGGTTGACGAATGAAAAGCATGTCGTTGATGGCATTACACATCTCTTCAATGCTGACACATGACAAAAAAAAACTATAAAGATGTAACAAAAAATTGCTCGTCAAATTGCAGTCAATGCATCTGTCAAGTGGAGCCTACGACTGCCATTAGAATTTTGTAGTGTCACATTTGCAGAATAATGGGCAGGATTTATGAAGATACGTTGAGTAAGGGAGCCACTCGTCTTGTCTTGTCCTTCGTGTCTGCCATCTGCTCTGTAGTCAAGGTAGGGGGCAGTTTGTCCAACAAGGCACAAAACCTCCCCTTAAGCTACTCATCCCCTTGTTCATGTCTCATCTCTGTAGCGTCCCGAGACTTTTTAACCCATAAAAGGAATCAGTAAGCGCAGTTGAATACATGTATTCCCAAGACGACAGGACAAATGGATCTGAGCACGGCCTGAAGGCCGGCCCACGTGTGCAGGGGTCAGACAAATCCTGAAGTGACCGCCAAACGTCATGCGGTCACATACACAAAGTACTACAACCTTAATGAATGCCAATCCTGTAACAAAGCCAGAAGAATAGACTGTATTAAAGTCCTGCTAAGCGGACGTCTTCATGCAAAATGTGTGTCTTGAAGTTGTTTGTTCATATCAGCCGAGTTGTATTGCCTGCTAAAATGGGATGAAAGGTGTAATGCTTTGGTTATGGGAGCATCTGATGTCTGACGGTTATCGTAAGCTTCGTCTGGACCCTGTGCGCGTGAATTGGCCTTCGGGCCGTGCTCAGACCCAATCCCCTTTGTTTTCCCTGCCTTCTTCCAGCCTGTGGGAAGTCTCGGGATGCCACACCGGTGGCAGTGGCAAGGGAATCCGACAATTTTTAACATCCCCTTTCCCAGCATGCACCGTTTGTTGCATACATCTGCGATGTTGATGAAACTCATTTACATCAATGGTGGGAGAGCCTCTGAATCCATCAGAACGAAAGAATCTAGAGCGACATCTGCGTTTGGCCTCACCTTATCCCCGTGTTCCACAGAAAAGTTATTAACAACTGAAGCGATACCATCGTGAACCATCTGGAGAAGTTTCATGTCGGAATTCCACCTACAGTATCCGTGTAGAGGTGTTGGAAATGACACTGCTGTTCTCCTTACATACGGAACACTGTGTCTGGTCTGGGTCTGTCTGTTGGCTTGGAGCAAGCGGTACATGCTGGAATAGAGGATGTTAAAAAATGTTGGGTTCCCTTTCCACTGCCACCGGTGTGGCATCCCGAGACTTCCCACAGGCTGGAAGAAGGCAGGGAAAGCAAAGGAGATTGAGCCTGAGCATGGCCCGAAGGCCAATCCACGCACAAATTAAGTTTAATTTTTTCACAATTACCGAACAAAGGCTTTGAGGGGCAAAAAATGATGTCGAACTCTTTAACATGGCTGTACGTTGTAGGTCTTCTTCTCCTCCTCCTCCTCAACCCCCTCTCCTCTCCTTAATTCTGGGGAGAGCCGATTTTGTCCCCTTGTTTGCTATTTTAGTCCCACCAGTGTTGGGAGGTGCGATAGCGACCTACGCACCACGATGTTTGCCATTCACTGTCTGTCACATCGAGGTGTGAGGATGCGTATCTCCAATCTCCTCCACGAGGTGACTCTGAGTTTGTTAAAGGTCCTTCTACAGAACGTTATTTTTGATGTTGGCACGCATAAAACACACACAAATCGCATGATTTTGAGCCCCCTCGACGTTGATGCAGTCTCAAGGCGTCGAAGTCGCAGTTTCTGCGTCTTCGACCGCTGCCTTGTGTCGGCGACGAGGGGACAGCAGAGAGTGGGGCAAACGTCTCCCCCTTCCTCCTCCTCCACGTCCCCATTTAGAGCCACTGAAAGACCTTCAACGTTGGACTGTTTTCCTCCTGAACTCCTTCTGCTAGAAAAGCAATGAACACACATAAATTCTCCACTAAACAAGTCTAATAAAATGCGCATCATCATGAGTTTAACCAATCAAAACTTGCTTTCACCATTTTATTGCAACGCATAATAATAAAATTACCAAAAATTAAGAAAATTCTAAGACAGAAAAAAAACCAAAGAAAAAAATTTGTATTGCATTAATACTACTTTTGTGGTTCATTCGCTTGCCCTGTGGGACGTGCTTCATTACAAACCCCTTGATTGTCGGTGTCGGATCGTTTGATATGACTTTTGACAGGTCTGACAGGTAGGTGAATTGGCCGAGATGTCAACTTTTACCGTAAGCAATTTGACTGCCACCACCTTGCATTCAACAGAGTCAAAGTTATTGCACTGACCTCCTAAACGGGATCGTCGGCCCTTGTCAGTAAAAAGGTGGACACATTTTGTCGCCAAGCCGTGCTATCATCAGTAAATAATCACGTCAAGGCTTGAAGTGTTTGACGATGCGAGACAATTTGTGCTCCTTGTCTCATCCTCAACCCTCGGTCCGAGGGATGTGGAATCCGTAAACAAGTTAAAATCTTAAATTCTGTTACAGACTAAAAAAAGAGTAACAACGGTGGGAGTTTGGGGGGCTGTTTTGCTTCGCTTTATCGCACCCCCCGCCCGAGGCGTCGACGCAGAGGAGTGGAGGAAAAATTGGCACACCTTTAAACACATTTTATGCCAGTTAAGGGGCCTCATTAACATTGCTAAAGACTGCTAAGAGCAACTGTTGACGGGGCAATTTTCATGTCTTTTAACGCTTTCGCCATCAAATCGGCTTTACACCTTCCTGACACTCACAACTGTTTAGGGAGGCGAGACACGCATGAGTGCCGGTGAGGGAAAGAAAATGTCTCTTAATTTCCTAATTAAAACTATTTTATCCAAATTGCTATGTTACATTTAAATTATTCGACATGGTTTTTTTTTATTTTTTTAATAAAAGGCCAAAATCTGCTGACGGTTTGCCTGGACGAAAAGTGTCAAAAAGGGGTGTCACTTGGCACACCACAAAAAAATAATAATTTACGCTTCTTATGTCCTTAAAATTTGACAGAAAAGGAATAAATTGTGTCAGATGGTGACTTTGTTACGTTTGCACTCAAAAAAAGGGAAAAATTTGTTGTTGGTCAGTTTAGGAGCCACTTTCCTGTGTTGAGGTGCCAACAGCACCAGACACTCACTAAAATTAGCTAGAAATTGTAGGTTTCTTTTTTCATCTTTTGTCATTTTTGATTATTCCACACTAGACAAGCTTGCTTGACTTGAAAGGGATTGCTGCGGCATTCTTTCGCAGGAGGCAAGGCAGAACCAACGCCACCTTCCACCGCCTTTGACCGAACGTGAACTCGCAACAGCGTCAACGCTCGCTTCTGACAGCATTTCAAGAAACCAGAAAAAAAAACTTACATGTTCATCCGTTGTCACTGCGATGGGGTGCACTTTGTCCGTCTTTTCTTGGTTTTTTTTTTAATTTTCTCTCTTGTTTGCATGTCTATCGGCCTGGCTTTGTCGAGGAATTGGGCGCATTTTTCCATCCAACTGGAGAGTAAAGTGTCTACACGCCAATTCCTCTGCTTTGGTGCATCCAGTTCCCCAAAAAAAAATTTTCCACAAGCTGAAGGTGTTGTTTTTAAGTCTTAGCACACTAAACACATCACGAGCACATCTTCCCTTCCGTTCTTCTTACTCGATGTCCTCCAAGGCGCTTCAAAGGCTGCTTACCGGTGTGCGTCTGGTGTTGCGAAACAGGAAACTGTGTGCATGTTTTGTAATTATTTATTCATCAATATGCCTCATCTGAAGCAGCCCCAAAAGCACATTTGAATTGCTAACATTACAAATCTGTGCTTTCTCCATCGGCGCGGTAACCGTAGGTCTGAAAACACACCGATCGTGCACCAACTTACCCGTCTCTAATAAAATACAGACTATTCTTTAAGGAGGTCTCCATCTCTTCCCATCAAACACCATAAAATAGGCAAATTTAAGGGGTGAGCAGTTGTGCGCAGGAGGACTCAGTGCAGTTCTACAAGTGAGCTGACCATGCCTTCTATTTGCCGCCTCAATGCACCTTGGGGATTTCATTAAAACAAAATCATTCAACTGCCGCGATACACACGAGTTGCGGTACGCTACTCTTCAAAATGTTAGCCTATTTGGCAGCGTTTGCATTGTCGAACGAGTCGCCATCTAAATTTATTTCTTTGCACCAGACTTAAGGAATAGAATGAAGAAACAAAAAAATTTTTACAAGCCTTATAACGCTAGAGAACTGACTACTGGGTTATTCGTAGTAACTTTCGGTCTCAACGCATGACTTTTGATTTTAAGACGATAAAACCTTGTGTAAACCTGATAGCCAACCTATAGAAATGATTTGTTGAAGAAATGAGGGTTACTAAAGCATAAACTTTGTCTGCCAGGTTAAGTCGCATGCTATGTAAGAAAAGTTAATTTGCAAAGAAACGAAGGAGAAAGAAACTATCCAAGAAAACGTGTTAAAGCATTACGTTTAAAACTTAAATACACATTTAGGCGGCATTAATCCCATACAATTAACAGATATTATAATTTAGTAGACCCAGACGTTTCCAAAAGAAATAATTGATGTTACCAACAGTGAATACAGTGACCAGGGCATGGCAGGAGAGTAAATCGTTAAATCGATGTACTACGCAAGTGCTGATTGGCTCCCTGTGACCTTGAGACCACATCGCTGCATAAAATTCGTGCACTGGAAGTCACACCATTCGTATAGCGCGTGGCGGGTTGCATCTACACCTCTGATGTGCTTGTCATACTTTCACTGCAAGTTTTTTGATTGACTCATTTCTGGAAGGTTTATCAATCGGATTATACTGTACGATTCTTGAAATGACCGTCTCCTTTCCCACGCCTCTCTTGGGCATGTTTTGCATCTGCGTTTGACTCGATTTTCCTCAAAAGACTTCCCTGTGGAAGTCTAAAAGCATTGTGTTCCCTCTGGTGGTCACTACAAATGCATTTATGCGTAACAATATAATTCTGACAAGTTTTATGCGCCCATACCACGTGGTAGGTGGAAGTAACATTGCAGCACCATTTCCTTTTCCATTACTAATGCAAGCAAAGGTACGAAAAGAACCCGCGTCTTAGAGTTTATGCTCTTACCAGAGAGCTATTTACGTAGCCATCCTCTTTAACGACATGCACAACAATTCCTGGCAAGGCTCGGATAAATACTTACCAAAATTAGCAAGTACTGGTCTGCTGCACCCAAACACACTTTGATTGCTGGCATTGCAAAGTCTCAGGAGATTGGATACAATGGTTGGTAATTGTCGGTTTGTGATGCAAATCACTGCACCGATTGATCCGTAATAAAGGTGACATAGTTTTCCCAAGAGTAAAATCGATTCATTTTAAAACTAGTCACAAAAGCAACCTTATTTTACTCAGCGCAACAAGAGATTGGGAGGAAAATTTCTGTGGGCTCCAAGTGTTTTATCAATGCTAATGACTACTCTCAACTAAGCTGTACTTTATTGCATTTTCATAAAGAGTATTGACTGAAGAATGTTGTGATATACAAAGGTTGCACATTTCTGACCAGAACAAAAAAGTATCGGCCTGGTTTTAGCCCGAGTGGTCTTTATTTGTCCCAGATCACAAGCACTCCGTACTGGATTTGCAATGTCACTGTCAGAGAGGAGACCAAAAGGCCTAGAAAAGGGTGACTAAGACAATTCAGTGTTTGGGCTAGGACGCACATTGGTATTTTTTTCTTTGTATTGTTTCTTTTTCAGATGACGACTCCGACTGACCAGCACACATTTATGAAGGACGTACAGCACCTCTATAGGACAATTGGCGACTCGACTGACGGTCAGGCGTCCATCGTTGCAGTCGACGAGATGATGATCATGGTGGCTTTGCGTCCTAAATCCGGCTACAATGCACACGCCGAATTCCTATTGACTGTAAAGTGTTTCGTTGCTTTCCAACAGCACTTTTGTTTGACTGCAAACCAATGGATACATTTCTCCCTCCCTTTTATTTTCAACCATGCACTAGGTGATAACTACCCTATTTTTTACTTTTTTTGAAACGTGAGGGGCTAGATTGCCTGCACGCTAACTAAGCGACTAATTATTTAAATCTTTACTTTTATTAGAAAATAGAATTGGTTTTTCGAACTGTTATAGTTGTCAGCTGGAACCAAAGCCCAAAATTTTTGCTATGACTGCTAATTAAGTCATGCATACTTTTAGATACGATGTCGACCTACATATCCCAAGACGCCTCCAATTGTCTCCTTCGACACACCCATATTTCATCCCAACATTGATCCGACGAATAAGTCAATATGCTTAAGCCTTATCAGTGAGTGGCGGAGGCAAGTAAATTTCACACTTGGTGAAGAATTTTAAGCGCTTTTGTTAAATAAAACTTCCAAATAGGACATTAGAAACGCTTCGATTTATGTTTAAGTGCGTGAACTTTAGGATGTACAGGCGTAAGGCGGAAGGTTGAGTTACTGGCACTTTGGGTTGGAGCTGGAGTGGGGGCTTTATTTGCTTTTTTGTAACCTTGTCTGTCTTTTATTGTTATTTTGATAGCTGCTATGGTCTGATTGATTTGGTGAAGGCAATTCTATACATCATTGCTCATCCCGACTATGAATCCCCAATGTATTCCTTTGGAGATACTCATGGACCCCTCCAGACAGCTGTGAATTCGACTCGACTGCTTGCTGGTTTGCCGGTCAACGGATGTCGCTTTCCACCTAATCTTGCGTGGTGCGAATGGGCTAGTGCCAATGGTTGTCTTCCCATTGAAGGAAGTGAGGAGATGAGAAAGGACGAAGCTTGGATGGAACAAAAGGAAATATTTAGTCGGAAAGTTGGTAAAGGGGTTGCAGACTCCGGTGATAATCTGATCGCAGATGATAAGGTTTGTTAAGTACAACATGTTTGAGCAAAATTTGCAGAACGCAGTCACTTGAAGTGTTTTAGAAGTTCCTTACCTTTATTGTAGGCGTCCACTACTGACGCCGATACGATTTCTGCCTCCAATAGCACCGTATCTGATGCCTCCTCGTCCTTTGCCAAAATTCGCTACTCGCTCGATCCTGACGATGAGGATTTCTCTTGGGGTTCTTATGAACCTCGTTGGTCGTCATTTGAAGTTGAATCACAACGCATTCTCATTTGGTCTCCTAACAATGGCAAGAGAAGGGACGTTTGCACGATATTCTACTTTATTGAATTTTCGGGAACCAAACATCATCGGTTCGATTTAGGTCAGCAGCACAATTTTCTTTTCATTGCCAGTGTCCTACGCGAAAATCAGTCGCATAGAGAATCAAGACAAACATCCAGTCACTGTCCATGGCACGCATTTGTTCGAAATCCTGGAATTTCCTACCACCCTCCTACTACCCACTGTTCTTCACTCGATCTTGACAAAATGTTCGCAGGTAAGCAGTCGGTCATGCTCTTCGGTAGGAAAGGCACTAATGCCTTCTCTGTTGGGTTGCCTTTTGAAGGAATTCCTAATGATGAAAATCTTTCCCGCTTTTCAGCTGCTAATGATAACGTTGAGATGGAGAACTCTTTGGACTACAGACGGATTAGCAGAGAATCGGACCAACCAGCTGAAGCTGAAGCTCAAAGCGAAGCAGAGGTCTTCCTTAAAGACGAACCGAAGTTTTGCGCCGATGAGTCAAACAATGGGAGTACGACACCATCGTCTTCTTTTGTCTCCTCTTCAACTTACAGTGACGAGCCTGTGGATTGTCCCACAATAACAGAATGTCCGGAATGCAGATTTGAGTTTTGTTATCTGGGCGAACCAATTGACCCAAGCCTAGGACCGTTGTGGAAGTGGATTTTTCGTCGAACTCGATGGCCAATTCGGCTTGCTCCACAGCAGAATGTGGACCTCTCATTGATCGGCATTCAAATTCCACCATGGCGTGTCAGTTTGGGTCGAATGATGGCGGACATATGTCACTTTTGCACAAAGAATGAAGACATCAGCAACCTTGTTCTTCTCGATCCCATGGTGAGTCACTCGAGCACATTAATTTTGTCCAATGATCTGCGTACAGTTGCAATAAAATGCATTGTAAATGGTTCATAGGTCGACTTATTTTAACAGCTGATGCAAACTTAGCCCTCAAAGCTGGTTCAAATGCATATGCATGTGTAGACCTTGAATGTGTGACGTGAAAGTCATTTTTTTTACCCTTGTGCATGTATAGGCATTGTCACCCCTGTCACCGCTCCTCAATCTGATGCGGCATGAAAAGCTACTGAATCCTCGACTTACCGGAGTCCTCTGGATGACGCCGTTTGATGCCCTTTCCCCCTTTTACCACGTACCCGTTCCAGTCGCGGAACAGCAACATGACTGCGAAACCAATGAATGTCAAGACGGAGAAGGCACCTATCCCACACCTACCTGTCTGCGGTTCCTTACTGTTGCTGCCTTTCTCACTAACTGGGTGGCGTGGTTTTCACGCATAGAGAGCTATGCAACGCTTGGTATGTCACGATTCCGTCCACTCTACATCAGTGATCCTATGGCTGCGTGTCTACTTCAGCCCTTTAGTCTGGGCTGTGGTCAAGCTCCTCTCCTCGATCTTTGGCCCATGTGGCTACTTCGTCGCCTACTCACCCTCTCCTTAAGGCTGTCCCAACTCCAAATTCCCTTCCTCAATCCCAACCGTCCGCATCTGCGACACCTGTTTCCATTTTCTGACCTAGACGAGATTTGAAGCCCCTCTGCCCTCTTCATCCTTGTACCTTTCCTTTTTATTACCTTTCCACAAAAAAACATTTCAATTTAACTCACTTTTGTGTTTCACTTCAACAGATTTACTTCTGAAGGGTTGTAAACTGCCTTGACCCTTAGTATACAAACTTTAAGGCGGTACTTTTGTAGAACAGTGGTTGCAATTTTTTGCCACAAGCTGGCTGCAATTAGTGAAGTTCAACAGTGCTTTTAATGGTCTGGCTGCATTTTTTTGTCGACAACTGTCATCCACCTTTTCATGTAAGGGCCAATTTTACTCCATGACAGGCGGAACTACCTTTGTGTGGCGGAAGGTGAGTGCGGAGGTGACATAGGGTGCCCGCACCTCCCCGTGACAATCGTGGAATAAACCCAAGGCTGACTTTACCTCATCGGAGCTTTATTTATTTATTATTTTGTTTTTGTAAGGAAATAGACGAGAGTAGAAAGATTAAAGAACAGCAGAACATAAACACTAACCAAAGGTAAAATGCATCAAACTTTGCTCTGAGTTGATTTCCGTCTAATTACATCAGTAAGTCAAAGACTACGTCGCCGACTCATCCTCTTTGTTTGCCACTCAAAGAGGATGGCAGCATTGCTAGCTGTTGTGAAGGGCGACTTACGCATTGCAGAGAAAATGACTAAACACATCTGTGAAGACAAGACTGGAAGAGATGAGTCCTAAATTTTGGGCACATTTTAATGAAAGAGGGAAGATTTCGTGGCCCTACGCAGACATATCACCTAACCACATGCAAAAAGGAAAATTATCCCACTCATACCTTTCTTCCATCAACTGTATTGCAAGAACTTCAAGATATGATCCACAAAGACTACCTCCTTGCAACACCAACAATGCACAACCATGCCAGAGTCTCCTGAAGACTTGCGAGGCTGCATTTAACAACAGGTTTTCCAATTAGAACGCCATCGGCTGGTCCAAGTCCAACACTGTGAATGGCTCCAGCACAACTTCCATCAATCCGAAGCACAAGTCGTGCAATCAGCCAAGGGCTACGGATTGGCGGTGAATATTTTATCTTGAAAAAAAAAAGTGGATGCACAAATCCAACGACTACACGCTGAAATGCATTAGGAATGCGTAAGAAAGGCAAGGTTTTGGAGTTGTTAAATTCTTCGCTGGAGGAGGCGGAGGAGCAGCACCAGGAGAGTTTACTTAATCCGCAAAGCAGGAGTGTTCCGCTTCTGTAGCAGAGTTGGTCTTTAGAAAAGCGATAACCAAATGTTATCCACGACTCGATTTGCTCTTCCATCATTGAGGTCTTTAAGTCATAACGTCTTGGAACTCGGAAAACTTAGCCACCCAATTGGAACCTTAACAGAGCACTGTCAACTGTAGATAAGTAAAACTCGTTTGTATTTTTATTTATTCAGTTAGTTGGTTAAACTCGATGCCTCTAAAGCGCCCTACTTCATTCATTGGTGCTGTGGAAGTGTCCTAACGTTTTCGTGAAGAGCTCGAGCACGTCACCTCGCCTCGTACCTCGTGTGATCACCACCTTACGTGTCCTGAAGGCGCGGAAAGTGTGGCGTGCCACCACGCATTGGCATGGGAGAAACTGGGACGAAGACGCCTCCTTGGAGTGAGCAGTGCAAAGTAAACTGAATGCACTGCTGTGCCATGAGAGTGGTAGTGCTAACTTTCGGTGCTTTCGCGGAGACTCTTTGAAAAAATTACCTTTATTTGCTTAAACAAGCTTCACAAAAATTAAGAGGTGCATCACTAAACCTGACCAAGCTGATCAAGGGCAGACAGCAGAATGTCACATTAAACTGGGTCCTAAGGGGTGAAATAAAAAGGCTTCAATCTACAGCATAACTCCTGCCTCCAAATCCAAGGCGCCAGCCTACAAGTCAAAACAAGAGGCAAAGTGTGTGACAGTGCGAGGAGGGTCTCTTTGTCCAAAATTGTCTGCATACCTTTTGATAATCACGTCTCCACTCGACAGTAAACATTAACTTGTATAATCCCTCATAACAATTCTTTACGCCTTCTCGCATTTTCTTTCCTCCTCTTCCTAACCATCCTGCAATCACTTCGGTGGACTCAGTCAAGTGCTTTTAGGCATAGGAAGAATCTTTTAAGTCATACGCCATGTGACGAGTACAGTTTGTGCCAACCAAGCTCAAAGGTGGAAGTCACAACTAGACGTGACTTGCAAGATTGCTCTGATGAGTAAAAAAAGGATACCCACAAGGCTGGTTAAACGGAGGGCAATTAATGCCAAATAAAACGTTAATTGAGCGCGATAAGAATGCCTCTTTAATGAATTCTTCAGTGCCGTTGTAGATGGCACTTAGCACGCATGATTGTGGGCACAAACATCCGGTAGACTTAATCCACTAAGAGCACTGGTCAACTGTTGAAGAACAAATCAGCAGATCAACTTCATTTCCATAGCAAAAATCGTATAAAATGCGTCTACAAGGCATGAAGCCTTGTAAAAGTTTAGCCACGAAGTCTTCCTGCTTGACGATTGTTGCATAAAACATGCAGTTTCACACGAATTGTTTAACTCAATGAACAGACTCTCCACATTCTCAGTTCACACTTTTTTGCGTGCTTTTCAACTTACAAGAGTCAAGTGCCCATTTTATTGCGCAATGTATTCAGCAACAATTTCAAAAATAAAATAAGCGTGATTTGTTGTCTAATTTACTATTGGCGAAACCGCCTTCTACTTAAATAACAAACAGTAGTGCGTTTTGCGTTAATTTACATTAGCAAATCTTCCAAAAAAAATGAACCTATGAAATCCAGCAACCTTGATTAAGTAAAATATTGCTGATTATTTTTACGACGGCTTAATGCCCTGCATAGAGGAGCCAAGTTTGTTGTCAGAAAATACTCTGTCAAATCAGGGTATAAGATTACCCAATTAGTCCTGGCTTCTGCTGAAATCTCTCTCATCCATCAGTTGTCGGCCCATTCTTTAGGACGGACACTCGTCCACTCAACTTATGGTCTGGCGTTTCTTTTGTCTTTTTAAAACACAGCAACAGTGTTGGAAGAAATTATGTGCTGGTTTTAACTACGCATTGTCGTGTGATAATGAACAAAAAACTAAAGCTATTGCGAGTTTTTGAGATTGAATGAACCGTTGAAATTCACCTTACGGCAGATGGGCAAGGGTGAGATGTGGGGTAAGGGTTTGTGTTGCATTACAAAGTGTACGAGTCTTCATGCTCTAATTGTTTATTCTTCTTTTGTGTGCCTTTCTTCCCCTCACACATCCTCATTCCAGCCCTATTTAATAGGCCAATTTTAGAGAGAACAAATTGCATGTGTTGACAAACACATGACAGGTCTTTACGCTCCACAGTGGACAGATCGCTTCTTCCTTAAACAGTAAATTGCATTACTAAAGACATTTGCATGAAGAGCGCTTAAACTGACATCCAATTTCCACTTAGGCTGACGTGAATGCGTTCGCTTGCAGCGTACACAGTTAGACAGAAATTTGCCCTTCCTTGGATTTTCTGACCCACCAAATTCAATCATTTGTCGTGGTCTTGCACAATTCTGTTTTGTTGTTTCATTCCTCACATCGCAAGAAAAGTGGCTTTAAAGCTTTCGGCTGATTGACAGTATGTTGTCGTGTTCGGTGTTGTCACTGCTTCCGCATCCAACGGTCAAAGGGTGGTGACACTAAACCCTTCCCACCTCCTCCGTTGTGCCAACTCACATTGACAAAGGGAACACTTTCGTAGTGCGTACAACCTCTGACATGCAAAAGCCAACTGACTGTGAGGGCAATGTGATGGGAATTGCCTTGGATTTAAACCAAGTTAACTTCACCAACAAATGATGGTGCTGCTTGCCTCGTACGAGGACTCACCGTCAAATGAATTCACCCTTTTGAACGCAGCTGTCTGCATAGTCTTACAAAAAGAGAAATAAATAAAACTAAGTATTAATCCTACGAATGTTCCTGATGCCATTTCCACTCCCTTTTCCCCTCCTTAACGCAAATGAGTGTCATGTCATGTCAAGACGTAAAAAACTGGCGTGACATTGAGCCGGTGGGGCGTCCACACAGGTGTTAACAAACACGCTTGAACTTACAAATCAAATTGGACACTATTTTCTGTCAAAAATTTTTTATCCGTAAATGTTTAGCAAGTTTTAATGATTTTACGGCCGTCACTCATTAGTTGTCTTTAAACATCCTCATTTAAGGCCTAAAAATTTTGTCCAGTTGTGACCTTTTGATGGCAATTCTGTCTACGGCGAGCGGATTTGTCGAGGTCGTTTGAATGAAGTAGAAAGGGGGTGGATCCCAGCAAAATGCACAACTTCCTCCACAGAGTAAATTCATCAATGCTCAACTATTTCATCCCTCAACATGACAACACAATGCAATCACCTTTGACTTTAATGAATTCGGTGGATGTGCATCAAACCTTTGACAACACTTGCACGTCCTCTTCAGTTGCGTCTTTGTTTTGGTTTTGTTCATCTTTAGCATGACATTTTGAGCTATGCAAAATGCTTCTCAAAGTCAGTTATTTTATTTATTTATTTCTGCTTCTTTTTTTGTTTGACTTCACTCCTCCTTCATACTACTTAAAAGCTGCTGTTAGAGGTGGATTTTTTCAAGGGGTCAACTGCTTGACTGCTGCAGCACAACGCACCAATTAATTTTAATCCACTAAAAAGTCTGCCCCTTTCTGATGCCCCAATTTTGATTATAAACCACTCATGTAAAACAAAAAAAAGCCAAACTTCAGACCATTGAGTCTGTTTGTGGGGATAAACTTACTGTATTCCAGGCAGTTCATCACTGATAAAAGCGCCTCCATTCAACAACTCATCACCGTCAACAATTCACGCCGACTTTCCAGTTGTGACAAAATTTTGACCTCATTGAGCTAATAAAAGTGTAAAACACAGAGGTTTGCGGTTATGTGCATGAGTCCTCACGTGTTGCCTTTCCTGTCTCGCAGTTGTCGCCTGAG